TTTTCCCTCTGTCTGCCTCTGCCTCTCTTTCCATCAAACTTGCCTGTTGTTACAATATTCTCTAATGCTTCTTTCCGCATTATGTGTCCGAGGAAATTTGGAAATTTGGCTCTTAGCAAAATCTAAAATTACTCCCAAAATTGCTGTCCTTTCCCATAAATGTTTCAACAATAAAGCCGCTTGCATCCTAAGTAGGCCTACAGTCCTCCAAAAATCCCTAAGATGGGAAGTTCGGACTCTTAATTTGGGAACGCCTTAGAAGGGAGGTTAAAGCCTTAGAAGGGAGGTTAAAAAACAACAACAATTAAACAACCACAAAAACCCTTCGCTAGGCAGTACTTCTCTAATCTCTCTTCATCTGTCTAGAGCTCTCTCTCCCTACAAAACTTTGAGGGATAAAAAGTCGGAGGCAAAATAGAAAAACAAATTTTAAAAAACGTTAGCCTTCTTATTCATAGGACTCGTATGTTCCTAATGTGATGTGCACATCATCATTGATTGCGTTGTGACAGTAATAATGTCCTCTTACTTGTAAAGTGTTATCTATAGAGCATAATATGTGTACATGTTCATTCACTTGTATTTTGTGTCAATGTACAAACAAGATAACACATTCATTCAAGAGAGGTTTAAGCAAAGATATAATATCAATATCATTTCCCCTTGTTAAGAACAAACAACTGCAAAATTCGCAAATACACCCCCTAGAAATTCCTACATAAACCAGTAGAAAAATGGCAGAGAAATTTGCGAGAGTGAGCACACACGAGTGAGTACAAACGTCTTCACATTAGTTAAAAGGTTTGGGGTGAAGGCAATGTAGATGGCCTAGGGCTTTATTGTATGAAAGTTGGCGCTATACAATTTTTCAGCATTATCATTGTTATCATCATCATCATATTTTATTATCATCATTCCTATTGTGTACCCTCCCCACCCGCCCCAAACCAGCTGAGCTTAGCAGACATCGCTGTGTACGATGTGTTCACCGGCATGATGGCGCCTTGCCTGGGATCTATGGACAGCTTCCCGCTCCTCAAGGCTCTCATCGACAAAGTCGGCGCTGACGAGAAGATCAAGGCTTACGTGTCGTCCAGACCAGAAACATCTTTCTAATTTGTTATATTAAATTGTAGAGTTGAATCCGAAGTTGGCACCAGTATGACCACCATGCAAAGATCTAAATAACTTTATATTGTTTAAAAGAGGTGATACGTCCAAACCATGCTATATTGATAGACAGCGAGTAGCTTTCAGACATGAGCAAAATGGAGACGACTTCTGTCGGAATTGCTTTGATATCTTCTATTGTCTCGAATGGAAGTGGACATTGCAAGTCTTGGACGATTCACAAATTACACCTAAGCGTAACAATATAGCCTACATCATAACACTGAATCATTACAAAATATTTAAAAATATTATATATATATTATGCATGAGGGCCGAGAGAGTGGGAGTATGCATGAGTATGTATGTTTTGTTGAATTTCAGAAAAGTAAGTCGTTCCATTTCTGCATCTTTTTCTGTAACCCTAGAAGAAGTTTCCAGAAAGTCGTTTTCTCCAATTAAGACCCTCGTTACATTTAAACATGGGGCATGTGCTACAAACGCTAAGAATCATATTCACTAAGAACAACTTTGCCTTTGTGAGAGTCCATCACTCATTGTTCATTGGTTTTGATGTACATCTTAAGTGAAAATGTCCAACAAAGTATTTAACCGTAAGTAATTCGTCTCAGTATTCTTATAATAGCAATGGTTCTGTTCTGAACGGCAAGCAAATGTAGTAATATAATAAACATTTTAACATCAATACTGCTTTCTGTTTTACTGCTTCAATTCAACTTGTGCGAATTTGAAATATAATTTTTGCTTTACATCATTTGACGATACTGGACTTCAGTATTTTTTTAAACGATTTGTTTGCTTTATTTTCTTTTTTTTGTCCCTTGCCCATTTCTAGGATATTGACGCCATCTGATTAGTAGAAAAATGTGCGTATGAGAGTGTCCAATAATGTATAACGTACAACATTGTTATGACATATAACTGTTACATATAGATGCTTAAGATAATTATAGATGTTTGTGAAGGATCTGAGAGCAATGATGACCTTAGAAATGACGATGATGGTGGTGGCAAGTGATGATGTGGGATGGTGCTTACGTTTATAATTACAAGAAAACATGCTTCTGTTATTTGATTGTTGTTGTTTTAAAAAAATAACGTTAGCGTTAGTCCTATCTTCCTCTGCTCTGATGAGTCACGAGGGATGTGGGCACCCGCTATCCCGTTCCCTACTGGAACCATCTTTAATGTCACCTTGAAGTTCCGAAATGGTGGGCACAGTCTCTGCTATGGTGACCTTGTTAGTATTAGCCTATTCTAGCGGACCAAGACAAGTGAAGAGAGGACCTTAGTATGTAGCTAGTACAGTGGTAGATATTAATTTTGGGGTTTCGTAAGGGGTTTGCAGTTACCAAGTTCACAATTGGGTTAAAGACTTAATACTTATTTAAATATGAAGTTGCGGAGATTCCGATACAGGATCCTCGAACCCGAGTCGAGAGGGAACAATTTAATTTGCTTTATTTTCATTTTATTTCCATATAAAGCTTTTCACCAGCTTAGCACGAGGGTTAACGATAATTGTATAAACATTATGTTTTCATTTTTGTGTGAAGAAAAACCATTTTATTTAATGCTAATTCTACAATGATTTCCTTTTTTTCGAAATCACCGATAAAGCAAAAGCCATGACGTCATGTTAACATAATATTGTTTTAAAGATACAATGAACATTTAAGACGGTGGAGTTTCGGGGGTAATCGGAAGCTGTTCCCCTGAAATTTTGTAAGTTTAAAATAGTGTTTTCTTCGTCACAATCACTAACATAGTTGTTTTGCTTTTTTTCAAAATCCATCCTGTACTTGTAAGTATTATACTTTTTACATTCGTCTTATTTAGACTTTTTGTATAATTGTTCAAGTTATGTCGTGTGAGAGAAAAATTATACGGAACATCAACTCGCCGGCTGCATCGACTTCATTTAGGGGAGGTGAAAACACACAACTTGGTTTGTTTTTTCTTCTTATTTCTTTAGTTATGTCCCCTTCAACTTGAAGTTCAAGGAATAACTGAGATAATGATAATTACCACGTAATCAGCAGCCATACGAAATGAGAACACTCACAAACACACACACGCACTTTCACACACTTTCACAAACACACACACACACACACACACACACACACACACACACACACACACACACACACACACACACACTCATACACACACAGATTTTAATGCTAATTAATACGCGTAGTATTTTTGTACAAGACCCAAAGCAAAAGACTTTGTAAAGTTTTGATGCTGCATTTCATCAAGACCATATTATTATGTTCCTTCGCTTTTCACAGTTGAATCATTATCATACTACTTGTATAGCTAAGCTATATGGTTTCTCTTCAAGTTGATACAAACAAAACAAACACCCCCACCCCTATAACCCCCCCCCCCAATAAAACAGAAAAAAGCAAAAACAACAACAAAAACCCAATGCTTATACACTACAGTTGGTCAATGTCTTAATATTTTATTCTTATTATCAGAGACGACACAATCTTCTCAATAGCTTGCTTTGTGCTGACAGAGAAGTGATAATTAGCACACTCAAAACACACACACACACACACACACACACACACACACACACACACACACACACACACACACACACACACAGGCACATACATACAAACACACACACATACGAACACACACACACACACAGGCACATACACACACACACACACACACACACACAGGCACATACATACGAACACACACACACACACACACACAGGCACATACATACGAACACACACACACACACACACACACACACACACACACACAAACACATACACAAGCACATACATACGAACACACACACACACACACACACACACACACACACAGGCACATACATACGAACACACACACACAAACACACGACATGCATACATATACAACACAAATGCACACTCATGCACATGCGCACACAAAATCACACATACAAACACAACTTGGCAGGGCATAAATGTAACTTAAAATAAGGTATAAAGTACATGAACACATTCGTACTGTACACAATATAAACAATTGTATTATGCAAATTAGATGCATCACAAAACACAAAATCTGCTTTCACTCTCAGCTGAACATGGAAAGGATTTCTGTTACTTACAGATAATTACAGATAATTTCAAGGAGTCTTGGTCGGGTCACTTGTTACTTTGGCTGTAGTTGTTGTTGTTGTTGTTGTTGTTGTTGTTGTTGTTGTTGTTGTGTTTTTTGCTTTCTTCTTCTTCTTCTTCTTCTTCTTCTTCTTCTTCTTCTTCTTCTTCTTCTTCGTCTTCTTCTTCGTCTTCTTCTTCGTCTTCTTCTTCGTCTTCTTCTTCGTCTTCTTCGTCTTCTTCTTCGTCTTCTTCTTCTTCTGAATCTTCTTTTCCTTCTTCTTCGTCTTCTTCTTCGTCTTCTGAATCTTCTTTTCCTTCTTCTAGTTGTCGCTCTTGTTGTCCTTGATGATGTTGACGGAACTGTAGGGTTATTGTTTGTGTTCTTGTATGTGTTTTCGCTGTCGTTGTGTTGGTTCTTCCTTGTGGCCATGTACGCCTTGATCTCTGGGAACTCCGCAGTCTTCCTCAGGTTGGCCTGTAGTAGAGGTAACTTGCCGTCTATGGGGACGATGACAAACTGAAGGGTGGTGGTGGTCATATCGTACAGGGCGATCTCCGCCACTGACAGACAGCTGCAATGTCTATTTCTATACGTGTTCCTTCATAGGTAGGGTCAGGTGAATGTTCTTGTCTCTCATTTGATCGTTCATGTAGGGGTTCAACATTGAAATAAACCTGTCAATATGACTGCGTATGAAATTCTTGTCTTCTCTGAAGTCACTCACAATTAAATCTTTAAGAATGTAGCACACAAGTATACCTATCAGCCGCAGAACGGATGCAATGTTGCGGTACATTTCAAACTATCATAACACAAATCAGGAACTTGCGTTTCTGTAAAATCCACACAAAAATGTGTTTTTAAATGGATATAAAAGGTGTTTAGCTCCCCCCCAGAAAAATAATTTAGAAAAAGAAAAAAATTGCCAATCGGCCAAAAAAAAAAAAGAAGATTTCTTTGATTCCATTGTCTTCAAAGAGCGCCTGATTTCACCAAGATGCCTCACAATAATAATTACGCAGTCTTAGAAGGAGGTGCTTGTGGCTGCTGCTGAGACACAGGGAAGTGTTGGTTCTTCCTTGTGGCCATGTACGCCTTGATCTCTGGGAACTCCGCGGTTTTTCTGAGGTTGGCCTGTAGTAGCGGGAACTTGTCGTCTATGGGGACGATGACGAACTGAAGGGTGGTGGTGGTCACATCATACACGGTGATCTCCGCCACTGACAGCTGCAATGTCTATTTCTATACGTGTTCCTTCATAGGTAGAGTCAGGTGAATGTTCTTGTCTCTCAATTGATCGTTCATGTAGGGGTTCAACATTGAAATAAACCTGTCAATATGACTGCGCATGGAATTCTTGTCTTCTCTGAAGTCACTCACAATTAACTCTTTAAGAATGTAGCACACAAGTATACCTATCAGCAGTAGAACGAATTCAATGTTGCGGTACATTCCAAACTATCATAACACAAATCAGAAACTTGCGGTTCTGTAAAATCCACACAAAAATGTGTTTTTAAATGGATATAAAAGGTGTTTAGACCCCCCCCCCCCATTTAAAAAAAAAAAAAAAAAATTTAAATTGCCAATCGGCCAAAAAACAAAAAAGATTTCAAGATGCCTCACAATACTTAAGCAGTCTTAGTAGAAGGAGGCACTTGTGGCTGCTGAGACACAGGGAAATGTTGGTTCTTCCTTGTGGCCATGTACGCCTTGATCTCTGGGAACTCCGCGGTCTTCCTCAGGTTGGCCTGTAGTAGAGGGAACTTGCCGTCTATGGGGACGATGACGAACTGAAGGGTGGTGGTGGTCACATCGTACACGGCTATCTCCGCCACTGACAGCTGTAATGATGATGATAAAAATGTGTCACGACGAGGTGGAATCAGGCGCTCGTCAATTTTTCGGCATGTGGAGTTATTGGCACCATCTTATAGTTAACGTGTGTTTATTTGTCTAATTTTCAATGAAAAAAATACCCATGTTTCTTCAATGCAAGTCAAGATAGTTGCGATTGAAGGAGGTCAGGGTCTCCTGATTTCAGAGGTCAAATTAGCGAGGAAATGGCCCCCAAAGTTTGGTAACTTCCATAGCCTGAGAGTCTTTGGAAACTGAAAATTTAGATTTTGTGTACCTTTAATCAATGCTTTTCGGTAAAAATCCACACAAAAGTGTGTTCTTAAATGGAAATAAAGGGTGTTTAGCCCCCCCCCCCAAAAAAAAAAGAAAAGAAAGGAAAATTAGAAAAGAATATCCAGTCGGCCAGAAAATAAATATAGATTTCTTTGATTTCATTATTTTGACGAGCGCCTGATTTTATCAAGATGCCTCACAAATACTACTACTACTGCGCTCGTCTTCGAAGCGGAAAGTCCGGGTTCGAGCCTCGGTTCAGACACGGATTTTTTTCGCCCCTTCCTGCCCACCCAGCAGTAATGGGTACTTGACTTCGAGTTCGCGAAGTGAAGGCAGTGTGGAAAGGAACTGGCCACCCAACCACAATATGCCGAAGACCCAAGAAGTTGTCTCACTAACAAGGCAATCCACATCATCATCATCATCATCATCATCATCATCATCATCATCATCATCATCATCATCATCATCATCATCATCATCATCATCATCTTATGTGGTGTCGGTACTCTAGTGGTGAGGCTACCGGACTCGTAATCGTGAGGTTGCTGGTTCAAGGGTTGTGTCCTTGGGAAAGACAATTATTTATACCAGTATTTCTCATTTCTCCCAGGGGGGAAGAACGTTACCCGGCTGTGGACAGCGAAGGGTTCAGTCAGTTTGTTGAATCCCAAAAGGGGGTGGGGAATATTAACATGTTATGGGCGATGGAAAGCCATAAAGACTGACAGTTTCTCAAATGAATGACATTAATAAAATAAGAACCTTGGAGTAAGCCCCCCGGGTACGATACCATTATAATGTTGAATGGTACGACAGATCTTCAAGGGTTATTGGCGGGTGCTCTGGTGTGATTTGCTCCTTCTTTCCTATCAAACCTCTATCGACACCCCTCCCCCCACCAACCGGGCAGTGCAACTGACTGAAGTTGTCTTTAGGCTATTCAAAAAATGGGGATGTTAACATGTTCTTAAACACAGTAGAATTGTAGATGGGCTGATTTGTCCATGTCATGTTCATACTGTGCGGGAACAACATAGGGGGTACTGCTGCTTTTTCTTTTCTCATGCTCACTATCGTCATTTCCCCTCTTCTTCTTTTGTATGTTTGTCACTCTCTTGTGAACTGCCATTTCCAGGGTGTCTTGATAGTCGAAGCAGACTTTGTGCTGTTGAGGCTAGAGATGTGAGCAGAGTAAGCCTGATTCCCCGTTCGGACTTCAAGGTTGACATCCACCCCTTGGAGCTCATAATATGACCGTATGCAGTTGCGAGCGCCGTATAACCTTACTAAAACAATTTTAAAAAAGTTTGTTGAAGTAAGACATTGAGGATAATAAATGATATTATATACTATGTATTTATAGGTACATTATATCAATCCTACCCTGTTCCCAGCAAAATATCCCGTTCCGTTCTGCTCCAACAATTTTTCAAGTTTTCTATAAGTTGGTAGGCAGGTGTTCATTTTGAATTCCTTCACCTTTGCAACCTGTAATGAAATAAAACAAAAAACAAAAAATTATTACACATTAATAAAATCTTATAATGGAGAAAATTCGGAAGCAGCAAGTCATCACATTCTTCTTCTGAGAATTGTGTCAGCAAACTTAAATTCACACGATGTTGGCCAGCATCTTTGCTGCAACCAATTGACTCTTCTCTGCCGCACACAGGAGACCCGCATTGGGGAGAACATTTTTATCGAGGATCTCGGTCTTTCCGCTGGGATGTTGTATCCTTCTCATCCCGGCTTGGCCCTGACAGGCAGGTTCGGAAGCCAGCCTCCTAAATTGTGTAAATTGTGTCGATGGGGGCAAAAAAACACATATACTACCCCCAACCCCCCAAAACACCACCCAAAAGCAACAAAAATACCCCCCCCAAAAAAACAAAAAAAAACAAAACAACAACAACAACAACAACAAAAAACAACCAACAAAACATTAATTAAAAAAATAAAAAGTAAAAACACACACACAAAAAAGACGACAATGATTACCTTTTTAGCCGGATCTTTTTCACTGAGAAAATGGGAGGCTGTGTCGAAGATGGACTTGATGAGAAGCAGGACTTGATCAATGAGCAAACGTTCCAGGTTATTGTCGCCATAGATGCCTGGGAAGGATAAAGTACACTTTCAATAACGAAAGTTAGAGATTTTTTTAAACATGAAGGCCTATAGCGCTATAATAGACTTTAAAAGTCATATTATTATAGAGAAGGTGGAGTCATAGATTAGGTGTGAGTGGCAAATGGAAGAGACAAGGTGGTAGTAACGAAGTAGAAGATGGTATGTAAGCAAAAAGGGGAAAATCCCCGCCCAGACGATTGATACAATAATACGTACCTCTACACTTTCAGCCTTGAAAAAACGTTTTGATCACACGAAAAACAAATCATCATAAATTAATTTAAAAAATTACAATGAATATGTATGCAAGAGCTAACTATCATGTGTACATCATCATCATCATCATCATCATCATCATCATCATCATCATCATCATCATCATCATCATCATCATCATCATCATCATCATCATCATCATCGACTTAACAATTCCTCTTTTTCTTTTTGTGTTTTTTTTTGTTCATCTTTTTTTCTTGAAACATAACAATTTGCCCCATGTCAATACCTTCAAATGTCGGCACCAAAATCAGGACATGGGAAAAAAACACAACCCCCCCCCCCCCAAAAAAAAACAACAACAACTAAACAACTACCGTGTGCACTTTTTGATAGTGCATTAGGTCGTGAGTGTCTACCAGGGTTGAAAGGAAAAAGAGGAAAGGGTGAGTTTGTTTGTTTGTTTGTTTGTTTGTTTGTCTGTTTGGTCGTTTTTTTTATGACGAGGTGGCAGAGCGGCCATTTACTTTACATGTTTACACTGTTGTGACAATCAATAACATACTTTGTGTTCAATACAAAGTGCAATCCTATCTGCTCAAACGACCACTGTCCAAGACAACAATCACTTGTGCAAAAAAGCTCTTCCCACATCCCTCATTCATCATCATCATCGCGTGCCTTGCCGACTGGCGTGGGCGATCATGGACCTCCACTTCCATCTCTGTCTTGCGTTGCAGCAATGGTGTCTATTGTTGTTGCTGCTCCCAGCCATGTTGTCAACTTGTCCAGTATCTTTTCTCTCTGTCTCCCTCTGCCTCTCTTTCAATCAAGCTTGCCTGTTGTTACGATATTCTCCAATTTCGTCTTTCCGGATTTTCTTAACATCTTAATGTCACAGTCCAAGAAGACCACCTGTTTAAAATGACTGCTTTTCTCTTCAACAATTGGCGGTCGCCGTGGACAGGTTCGACGGTGATGTATTATTATTGTTCTACTCACCAAACTCCTTAGCAATGTAACAGTTGATGGCGAAGGACTGTGTGTACATCTTCCCGTCTATCTCCAGGACTGGGACTTGTTCGAAGGGAAATCCTACAGACAGAAATATATAAGAATATACCCGTTAGATATTGTAGATAGTCTGGTGGTGGTAGTGGTGATAGTGACCCCACATTCGCCGAGAACCGACAGGGATTAACTAGGTTATCTAAGAGGCAGGACCTCCTATTTCATTGTCTGTCTCATATAGGACCAAGCCAAATAGCTTGAGAGTCTTGTAAATTCCACAAAACCTTCTAGTTCAAGAACACAGTCTGAGATTCGAATCAGGGCTACTCGCTCCCCCCCCCCCCTTCTCTCTCTCTCTCTCTCTCTCTCTCTCTCTCTCTCTCTCTCTCTCTCTCTCTCTCTCTCTCTCCACACACACACACACACACACACACACACACACACACACAGATATATATATATATATATATATCTATCTATCTATCTATCTATCTATCTATCTATCTATAATACACACACACACACATACACACACAAACAGAATCCTCCGTCCTCTCTCTCTCTCTCTCTCTCTCTCTCTCTCTCTCTCTCTCTCTCTCTTTCTCTCTCTCTCTCT